TTTATTACTATGAAATCTATTTTACAATTTACTTTAAATATTTTTCAAAAACTGAAACTAATCTAAAATTTTAAATATGAAATCTTTATTCTAGACATTTATTTTAATGCAAACTGATGTATAATCAACAAACTTAAGTGTAAAAATCTATCTACCAAACTAGAAGCATTAAATACATTTAAAATCTGTATTTAGTATGTGTTTTGTAATTATTTTTAGATGTCTTATTTGTGTTTTGTAATTAAAAATTAATTTTTTTAAATATAACATTTTACATTCTAGTGTTAAATTTACAACTTGCAATATTTTGTAATCCCATTTCTATGTGAACAAGTGACTTATTTTCATAAATATATTAATCAACATGATACATAAGTAGCTAAAATGACGATTAGAGATAGAGTACACAAAGTTTTAGAAAAGGGCCCCGGCAAAAATTTGAGCCCCAGGGCCCCTAAGGGTGAAGTTACGGCACTGATGTATACAATTACTAGATCTTACCTGATTAAGATGTGAGTATTTCAATTTAAAAACTAGTTTTGACTAAAAATCTGCAGATTTTTTTTCCAAACATTTTTTTTTCCAGTTTAGTTTATTCTTTGCCTGAATATACAAGTTTATAAGGAAAGTATAGGTTTATAGATATGCACATACACGTGTCTGCTCTTTTGAAAATAAAATTTTAGACAATAAAAAACATATGAGCTTCTCGTGAAATACTGTCGCCTGGTTGCCATTGGCAGCCAATAAATTTTGAGACTATACTTTTAACTTTTAAACTACGATCTCACATTTTTTCCTATTTTAATATTTGGAGAAAAAAATTCGGTCTGAGGATTAGCCACTAACGATAACTCCTTCTCCTTGTTTTCGCTTGTGTTTAAAACAAATTTAAAGAAAAAATCCTATTTTTCCTTGTCTTTGTTCCGTCATGTATTCCTCTAATTTCTGGTTTTGCGTTACGTGATTTGAAATTCATGAGTCATAATAGTTTTGTTTTTATAAATATTAGTATAGTATTAGTGTTATAAATGTTAGTATAAAATTATATTGTAATTTAAAATTATTTAGAAATCCATGGGTATAACTACAGGAAAATATATTAAAAAAACATGTGAATCCACAACAAAATCTGCACAAATCAAATGCACACGTCAGGAAGCTGTTTTTCAATTGCACAGTTCTAAATTCATTCGCTTAATAATATCCAATTAAATATATTAGTTTTAAAAAAAAACATATAGAAATCTATAACATTGGTGAAAATTGAAATGTTATAAATCGCCTCTCTTTTCAAAATTCATGAGTCATAATAGTTTTGCTTTAAAGACATTAGAATTTTTTTAATTATTTAGAAATCTAAAGGCATAACTGCTGAAAAAGTTATTAAGAAAAACTTGTGAATCCACGATCAAATCGGCATAAATGGCAAGCAGGGTGGGGCGCCTTTCAAAAAATGCATAAAGAAAACACTGCATTCATAATAAATTATGTTGTTATTGTGAAATAGGTGGAAAACACTATCAGGTGGCGGAAGGCGTACGATGATGATGGAAATATGACACCCGAAAGTAATGCTAGAATCATCAAGTGGTCTGATGGCAGGTATATATTAACTTTCCTCAATCTAAACTAAATCATTCCAGGCTCTGAAACATTTGATGTAATGTATTGGCATTATGATGGATAGTCATTAATGAAATAAAATAGTTAGACTATATTTTTTAAAAAAGAAAATTAAAACGGAAATAGATTTTAGTTTATTGCATTGAACATGCTAACTGATTATGGCAAAATATTTCACCATTAAAATGCTACTGCTATGGGCATGACAATATTTTTCTTCGTGAAAGTTAGTTGAGGTGTGTTGAGTTATTAGTTGTGGTGTATTGATATAACTATGAAGAAAAAAAGTCCTCATTGTGAAACAAGTTGAACAAAAGTTTATTACTCAAATGATAGGTTAAATAATAAATGTACTATGTGTAATTATTTATTGTTGTGTTTTAAATAGTTGCTTTATTATAATTATTTCTTTTAAACAGTGAAATTTTTTATTTTATGATTTAAATTGGATAAATAATTTACTTTATGCAAATTTTTTTTTAAAAAAGTAATAATTTGTCATATTTTTTTTTCAGTTTGTCACTACATTTAGGTTCTGAAATATTTGATATTTATAAACAGACCTTGATGTCTGGAGACCATAATCATATTTTTATACGTCAAGGAACTGGTTTACAAGGGCAAGCTGTCTTCCGGACAAAGCTAACATTCAGGTCAGATATTTTTTTAGGCAGAAATTTGAAACATCATCAAGTTAGATAGTACTGTATGTTTGTTGAGTTCTATAATTTACATTTAATTAAACATCATGAACCTACTTATTAATTAAACAAAACTTTAATTGTAATAAGGTAGAGATCTTCAACTCATGTCTCACTGAATAATCTTATTCAGTGTAAAACTAGTTCAATTATCGAGAATTGACAATCATTTTACATAATTACTGGCTTAGCAAGGCAAAATTCATGCTTTGTAGCTTTTTTTTAAAAAAAATCAGACTGTGTTGGATACTCAAAATTTTTTTTTGAAGTAATGAATATACTCTTAATGTAAAACTATTTGACATATGCTTTTTTATTTTTGTGGGGAAAATTTTTTTCTCCAAGTCTTGGCAGTCTTAAACAGAAGGTCCTCTGGAATTTGAAGTAAGACATCTATTTAAAAAATGTTTATACTTTTTGTGAACTGAGTGAAAAATAGCTTTGACTTCCACACTATTAAGACATAAATACTTTCAGTAGACTTTTGTTTCAAAGGTCATTAAAAAATCTTTTAAATAAGACTATTTTCTTAGACTTCGGCTATCAAAATATATTTGTGCTGGCAATGAACCACAAGGTATATATTTCTAAAAATACATTCTCAAGAGTAGTATCTAAAAAAGATCAAGACGTGTGGTGTACAATTGGCAAAATAAAAAAGAAGAAAAAAGAAACGGAACATCTTAAATAACTTTTTATCTAATGATCGGATTTTCATTAGAAAAAAAGATAATTCAATTTTTGATAATTATTTATTATTTTAATTAATTATTGTAGAAGAATTTCAATTTGTAAGGTATACCAGAACTCAAACTTAGTGCTTCAAATATGCTCATTAATTACTGCAGACAATATTTTAGGTTACAATTCTATTTTAAGTTACAATTGAAATGTAAAAAAGTACTTTCTCAGAATAAACATACCTTTTTTCCTGACCAGTTTGGATGCTTAACTCTTCAAATATGGGGTGGGGGGAGTAGCTGCAATCAGGAAAATATGGTCCCAATAGTTTGGTCGGGAGTGTTGGGAGTTTAAATTCTTTAATATTAATTTTCCTTTTTTCATATTTTGCTATATCTCGGAAATCTAACACAAAATAAAAAATTTCAACAAAATCGGTCAAATAAATTTTGAGAAATCAAATTTTAAATCTACCACTTTCTTTATGAAATATGCTTATTTTAGCCTCCCTACCTGCTTTTACTTTTTTGACATATAGTTTTGAACCACCTTGCATATATTTTTGTTGTGTGTTAAAATTAGTTTATTTATTTAAAATATTATAGTGTCCATTACTGACACGCAGCCTTTTGTTATTTTCAGACCTCATTCTACTGACAGTTTCACTCATCGTAAGATGACCCTCTCCCTTGCTGACAGAAATCAAAAGACTCAGAAAATCAGAGTGGTGCCCATCGTTGGAAAAGATCCTGAAGCTCATCGTTGGGAAATGATTAAGGTTAGTTCATTATCATTTTTAAGGTTCTCACCAGTAATGAAAATTCAGTGGTTAAAAATGGTTAACACGTTCGCTGCCACCGACGCACTAGCGCATCAGAGCTGCACCTCCTGGTATGCCGACGACACACTAGCACGTCTATCGACTATGATAAGTTATATGTTCTGTGTTTAGTGTGGCTTTGGGAATTAAACGGAGATGTTGTTTCGGCACATTAGTGAAGCACTATTTTTTGTGGTTGGTTTTCAAAACTTTTGTTTTAATTTTTTTGTGTTCATGACTGCCAATATCCGTATATTGTGCTTATTATTTGTAAATATTTTCAGTATTGCTTCATAAATGATACTACATAAACTTGAATGGTATTCCTTTCTATTCCTTTCAAGCTGCTATTTTGTGCAATATGCCAGTAATTTCTGAGAATATTGATCAGACACGCTGGAGCATCAGTGGCACTCACGAAGACAGGTTGAGTCTGTGTGCCACTGACACTCCAGAGTGTCGGGGGAAAAAACGCTCTCTAAACAGGAAAATAATATGTTTCTTCATTTTTCTGGTTTTACTGGTAAAATATAAGGAACATTTAAACCATTAAAACCCTGTTTTGTAATCCTGCTTCTGAGGATGGAAATATCATTTTTAGTGGCAGCGAATGTGTTAAATAAATTTTCATATAGTGGTCTCGGATGGATTAAAAACAAATTAATTGATATAAAATCCTTACTGCAATTAAATACATTGAAATTTATTGTTTATTATCATTGATATGCAGTACCTGAATATTCTGTAATAAAATATTCACTATATTTTTAAAAAAAAGCAATTGCAAAACTGACCCACAACATACAAAATACTATTTAGTTAACCCCAAACTGCAAAAACAAGTCTACAGCCACATATATCAATCAGCCATTCATCCTTTTCTGTCTCTGTCCAGATATAAACTACATCCCAGAGTGCAGAATTTCACATACTTAACCCTCTCAAAACAGTTGAACTCATCATAGATTGTTAGGGTTAGAAAGACTATAATCTCATATATGATAGCGTGGGCTGTGAATGGATATATATATGATCACAGTCCTGAAGATGTTTACATTCCTATATTTTAATTAAGACAATCAGTATTATTGGTTTATTTTAATTGTACTATATTTTTCTTTCAGCAAGAAGAAGACAAACTGAGGGCATCCATTCGCCGTGAGAGTAAGCAAAGGAGAATAAAAGATAAGTCTCATTCCAGTGGTCTCAGCCGTTCTTATCTGGAGCCTGATCGCTATGACGACGACGATGATGGAGCCATTTCACTGTCTGCTATTAAAAACAAATATAAAAAAGGGGCTGCAGCATCCAAAGGTACCAGTTATTTCCTTCTTAGCTGCTTGGGCCGCATATGGAGTTATACAAAACTATTTTTTTTGAGAAATAGTAATTTTACGCTTTTAACCCTTTGAGTATTAATACTGGCTTTTTCCAATAACATGGAGAAGGCTCTTGGCTTTCCCCATGTTATTCAATAGGAAAAAAGTGTGTAGATCTACCAACTCTCGGGTTTGAGTATCAGATTTCTTTTGTCTAATATCAGGACTTGTTTTTTTTCCAGACATTTTTCCTTAAAACTATGAATTAGAGGACCTGTGCAAAGTTTTGCTCTCGAATTTTCCTCTTTGTTAGATGTTTTGTGTATTTAGTACATTGCAGTGTTTTTCTAAGCGTTTTTGGAAGAGCAGCTTGCCTTCCTTGTCCTTTTTGTAAAAATTAGCCGCCATCACTTAAAAACACAACACTGCTATATCAAACATCAATTTTCATATTTATACATGATTTAAAAGCTAAGCATTGCCATTCCTATCACGCAATCTAAAAATTATGCATCGGAACTCGTAATCATGTGCTTTTGAAAACCAATATCTCTTTTCATATTAACGCAATTTGAAAATCCAATATCTTGATTCATATTCTCTCGATTTTAAAATCCAATATCATGGTTCATATTCATGCGATATTAAAATCCAATATCGTGATTCATATTCACGCTATTTCAAAATGCTATATTTCGATTCCTGTAAGAACTAAGATTTTTCCTTAATTAATTACTATAAAGGTGTGATATTCTCCGTTGGTAGGTAATTTAGTTATAAATCTTATTTCGAAAAATTATGTTAAATATGGAGCATGTTTGGTATATAAAGTGATATCTTGCATGTAAAATCTTCCAGTTTTTCACTTTGTGTCACAATCACCCCTAGTTTATAGTGGACTCTTAATTTCTTTACTCAGTTTTTTTTCTTAATTTCTCTAACTTTAAATTTGCAGGAGTTGCAAATGCAAATGAAAGCAATATCGTAATCATGTGCTTTTAAGAACCAATATCCCTTTTCATATTCGCGCAATTTAAAAATCCAATACTGTGATTCATATTCACGCTATTTCAAAATACAATATTGCAATTTTTGTGAAAACTAAGATTTTTCCTTAATTAATTACTATAAAGGTGTGATATTCTTCGTTGGTAGGTAATTTAATTATAAATCTTATTTCAAAATATTATGTTAAGTACGAAACATGTTTGGTATATAAAGTGATATCTTGCATGTAAAATTTTCCGGTTTTTCACTTTGTGTCCCAATCACCAATCACTCCTGGTTTATAGTGGACTCTTAATTTCCTTTTACTAAGTTTTTTCTTCTTAATTTCTCTAACTTTAAATTTGCAGGAGTTGCAAAGGCAAATGAAAGCAATATCTTACATTGTGAAATCTTACTCTTACAGGAGTTGCTCTTTTGCTTATAAACTAGGGTGAACAAGTTAAGCAATATATCTTCTTACTCTCCCCTCCCATGTTAAAGGAGAACGTAAAATTTTGGTAACTTTTATCTAAGAAGTGAAATGTTCGGAATATTTTGTGCAGTTGAAAATAAGAACTGAAAATACTGGATTCTTTGCTAATTGTTGATGCCAAAATTCGTGAATTACTTAAAATCGAATTGTAGTATTGTAGTAGTCGAATTGTCAGTCCAAAATCACTAATTTCTTCCATAGATTCTAAAAATTAACTAATTATTTTTCTCATTGATATTTGAGTTATTATCTCTTTAATCAGTTAATAATTTTTCTCATTGATATTTGAGTTATTATCTCTTTAATCAGTTAATAATTTTACCGTAATCACTATTTACAACAATGCTATTTTCATATGTTAAAAAATAAATTTACAAAGAATTTGGATATAGTGTTCTACCACCTTTGATAGTTGACTTATTCATAGGTAGATCACTTTAATGGGGTTTAACTATAACAGGATTTGTTTGATAGGTAAAACTTGTATTTTACAGACAGGCCTAATATATATTCTTCTGATGAAGCATCAGACGATGAAGAAAGAGAGAAAAGATTGGAACAAGCTAAGGAGAATGAGGAAGATGATGAGAGTGATCTGGTTAGTTATTGCATTTCCTGCTCTTTGGAAATAAAATGTTTTGAACTTATATGTTTTCTTTTCCATTTGAAATGGTTGCAAATTTGCTTATTTGCAACTTTGTTACTACAGTTAGTTCCTCCAAGCTTTTATTTATTTATTTATTTTTTGGAAGAAATCATACATCTTTGGAACATGAATGAAAAAATAAATGAAGTACATAAAGTAAACTATTTTTAATGAAAGATACTGAAAACTAAATCGAATTAATTATTGTTATTGATTGCAGGAAAATAAAAAAATCAGTACTATTTTAAAAAGGAGCAGGTAAATATTTTGTAATGTGCATTTCAATTATTTTCTCAGCATTTTTTTATTTTTTTTTTATTTTTAAATTTATATTTATTTTTGAAATTTTGTTTTGTGAATATACCTGCTTCAAAAGATTCTTTTTGATAAGAACCGAAACACATTATACATTAGCAAATATCAATGCAAAAAATATCAAACACAAAAAATTATAAATCCCTTTGGAGAAAGACAATTTGTCTTCAAGTAAATACAGGTCCTATGATTTATGGGTGCAGTGTGGCTCTTGTGTATTAAAATTCTACGATTAACGAAACACAAAAAAATAAACGGACCACCCTAAATAAATTTTGATTGAATCTCCACATTATGGGGCTCAATCTTAATAGTTCAAGGTGGTGACCTTAAATATGCTAATTAATTAGTGCAGACGATATTTTAAGTTACAAAATCAGACACAAAAATGTACTTTCTCTGAATAAACCTACCTTTTTTTCCCCGAAGGATTCGGATTTCTGACCCCAAAAATGAAGGGGGCAGCTGCAATAATTTGACCAGGAGAGTACGCCTAGTTTAGACCCCTTAATGTTAATTTAACTTTTTGAGCATTTCGCTATATCTCCAGAACTTTTTAAGCTACTTGAAAAAAAATTTATGCAGAATTGCGCAATTCGTTTATACTAAGATAATTCCGTGCAAAAAATAACTTTTAATAAATATTCATTATTTTATTTAATAATGAACAACAAAAGTTTGAATTGTAAAGAATACAATTTTTAGCATCATTTTAAAGAATGTAATTTTACATGGCTAAATACAAAATTTGATCAAAAATGGTCGAATAGTTCCTGAGAAATCAGATTTTAAATATCTGACTGAAATTCCATCTCTCAAAATTTGTATGGCTTACAATTCTAAACTTTTTTGACCATTATTGAATAAAATCATAAATATTTACTATAAGTTATTTTTTCACATGAAATTATTTTTGGATAAAAGAATTTAATAATTTTGTGCGAAATTCTTTGATTTGCTTAAAAAGTTCTTTGGGTACAGCGAAAGACCCAAAAAGTAAAATTAACATTACGGGATCCAAACTTAGGAGCTCTTTCTCAACCAAACTATTGGAACCATATTTTCCAGATTATATTATGTTTATTCATAGAAAGTATGTTTTTGTGTCTTAACCCTTTGACGGTTAGGGAAATGAGCAGTTTTTGCTTACTTAATATGCGCAGTATTGCGAGTAAACAGTAGTTGAAAGTGGCTGCTGTTTTCCCTCGCCGTTCTTCCGAAAATGTCTTCTCTGGCGATGTCAGATTTTGAGTCTGGCCAATTTTGAGTTTACAACTGTCTATGTTCAACTCTATAGCCTTGTAATTTTGAATCCAATCTAGAAGACAAGGAAACTCCTAAATAAAGCATCGGGAGAAAGTAGCCTTCGTGGAGGATTTTTTGATGGAACTAACCTACATTTGCGTTATATTCAGAGAAAAATAACGAAAACCTCTCACGGTTAACACGGCAGAAAGAGACTCTAACTCATGATCTGCTTACCACTTGGACTAATTTATGTCAACACTATGGTCGGTGCGAGCCAAGTACAGAATTCGTATCAAGCAGCCATTGCTGGGATTCAAACCTTGGTCAAATCATTGCGAGGCGAGCTTTCTATTTCCTGAGCCACTGTGCTTTTTTCTGAATAGTCAGATGCTAAAACATTAATTACCCACAGTAACTAAAGTAAACTAAAATCGGTGGCTCAATAGCCCTTGGAGGGCCAAGGTTTGTTGTACCCATTTCAGTTTTTTTTACCTTTTGCTCTGAGGTGTTATTGGGTTTATAAAAATATATTATTGTTATGTATATAATTTAAGTTACAACTTTCAAAATTAGTATTGGAGGTTTACTGTACTATAAGGACCAGAAAAGAACAAAATTGCCCCCTCTTTTTAATTTCTGCTAAATGTCCATATTATTAAAAAATTCTGACTTTTAATTAATTTATACATTTTTCTAAAAAGATAATAATTTATTAATAAGAAATCAACAATCTATCAAGATTATAATTATTCTTTAGATTTAATGGAAGGTAGCTTTGCTCAATAAAAACGGTTAATTTTTTAACAAAATTGTGCAATTTAAACAGAATTATAATGTTTCTCTACTATCTCTTTCAGGATTATTTTGATCGTAAAGATGGAAAGAAGAAAACGGTAAATATTGAAGAGAGCGATGATGAAGATTAATTGTAATATAAATTGCCCACTTTACTTAGTGTAAATAAATTTACTTTCATTTTAATTTTGGTGTATTCATTTATTATCTTAAGAATATTTCACACAAACATATAATTCATGATACTGAAAATTTATTTCTTTTTCAATGACCCATTAAAAAAGGTTTTAGTTTGATTTTTTTTTTTTTTTTTTTATTTTTTTTTTTTTTTTTT